CACAAAGAAAGAAAGAAAGAAAAAAGAAAGAAAGACACAAAGAAAGAAAGAAAGAAAAAAGAAAGGAAGAAAGAAAAGAAAGAAAAAGAAGGAAGGAAAGAAGGAAAGAAGGAAAGAAGGAAAGAAGGAAAGAAGGAAGGAAGGAAGGAAGGAAGGAAAGAAAGAAAGAAAGAAAGAAAAAGAAAGAAAGAAAGAAAGAAAAAGAAAAAGAAAAAGAAAGAAAGAAAAGAAAGAAAGATTTGTGAAACAAAGTATGTCTGCCCTTCTTGGGCTGTTAGCATAAAAGAGAAAGAAACTTGTCATATCTTATTGAGCCATTACACTTTGGAGGGTTTTTTTTTTTACTACTTCACTATAACCAATGCAATGATTTGATAGGATATGTGAAATTACTAATAACGAATACTTCTGAGTAGAGAAGTAGAACTGATAGCAAGACAGAGATACTGGGTCCTATTTTTGTATTTTTTACATGTACTCTCGTTTTTATAAGAACATTTTATACTATGGCTTAGTATCTGCTCAGTAAAATAACAAAAGAAAACAACAAATAAAGTTAATAAAAATACATTTCCTGACTCTCGGTCTTTCTTTAACATTCTATAATATAAATTTCAAGAAGCTATGCTTAGACATGATCATAGAAAAAGTAATATGTACACTCTAGGATAAAAATGAACTGTGCTATATATAATGTACATTGCAGATAATAATGTAGCACACATATATGTAGGCCATACTGAAGGCAATTTGTATATGAAATCTTTTATTCACTCTTCTGTACTGTCCAATGAGACTACTATGCATATAACACATAAATACTGTCTGCGTGAATATCACATCAAAGCTGGAAAACATTAAAAATAAACCTGTAAGATACGGTATTTTCATTCCTACAACTGTCCCAGTCAACCCTGTTCCTTGCGGGAAGGACTCCACAGTACCTCTGTTATTCGTCCCATTTCTCAGGTCAGGCTGAGATGCTAGCTGCTCCTTCATTCCATCCAACCGCTGCTGTAGTTCTTCTGATGTTATTTCTCCTGAAACAACGAAATACTGCTCATTTACACATTTTAAATTACTAACTTTTATAGGAATTCAGGATGATTAGGATTAATCTTCAACCACCTATAAAAGACAATGTCTTCATATTCTCACATGTTCACTATAGTGAAGACAGTTAAAATTTTCAACTTGACACAAATATACTTCAATTTGGTTAAGGATTTATTAACTTTTATTAAAATTTACTAAAATAAGATTAAATTTGAATAACTGGTAAAGCGCTCTCAGTCCATACTACAGGATCTATTAGCTATTAATTCTGTGCATTTCTGTCAGAGTTAAAAAAAAAAAAATTGGGAATTTTTCTAGAGGAAACATCAAGTGTTTGTTTACTTGAATTTTACTCTAGTATTTCATTATATGGACCTTCAACATACAAACATACAATATATAAAGAGAAATTTCAGTTAGTTTCATTTATTAAATGAATCTATGAAAAATTTATGGAGCATGTTAGACTTTGGGTGGTTATTAATCTAGCTGAATAAATACCTCAAATAACTTCGAACTAGGCTTAAATATTTTACTTGCACAAATATTACTTACGAGAACTAGGACTACATATGTGATCATTGAACACTATAGTGTGCCTCAAGCTATTATTTTAGCATTTATATATCTCGTATTCTTACCTATTTATAAAATACAGAAGTAAAAAAGATAAACTACAGAAAAAGCCAGTGATTTTCTATTGTTATATTAAAAAAAAAAATTAAAAAAAAAAAATTTTATGAGTACATGTTTGCAGTATGCAATGCTTACATTCATTGCGGGGAGCTGACACATGTAGGTAACATGTTTAATTCTGTTTCATTCCCTCCCACTTCCTTCTCCTTTTCACTTCCCTCTATCTCTTTATCCCCTTCCCTTTAAACTCACAAAAACACATCATACTTTGGGACAGGAAAGAGTAAGGGGGAAAACGTCTCCTTATTTTGAAATTCTTCCTCTTACTATAAAAAAAGGTGTCTCCTCTTTTTACCCGTTTCTTACCAGGGGTGCCTAAAAGATTGTGGTCTCTCATTAGCCGGTAATCTTCATCATTGAGCTCATTAATAAACTGGTAGTAGGCTTCTTCTCTAAGGAGGCGTTCTTGCTGCCATCTTCTCCCGTTTTCACGATGACTTCGGTCTTGAGATGTGGGTCCTCCACCACCACTACTTGATCTAGATCTACTCTGATTCATACTGAGGCTCCTGGCTTCCTGCTCAAACCACATACACAAAATGCAAGGCATTAGTTATGGGCTGCCTACAGCTTTGCATTTTTAACTCACAGGTTTTCTGTTTGCTTAACCTTGTTCCCTACTCAAATATTTCATCTGCCAAATATTACAGGGAGGAACTTACACATAAAATGAAAACAACTTCTATGACAGAGAACACAGTGGACCTACTACTTTGCCTAAAGCCATTGTTTAGTCAGGCAGAATTTCAGTTGAGCACACATTTCTCATATCTGAATATCAAAATGAATATCTATTTAAAAAAAAAAAAAACCTCTTCAACTCACTCTCTAAAGATGATCTAAAAGCCCCTTGTTTTAAATGTCTGAGTACTTCATGTCACAAAACAAACTTTAGGCTTGAACTGTGCATGTTCTTTATATAAAAAGCAAAGGGTTACTGGGAGAGTATAATTTGCATGTATTTTCTTCTAGCAAAATATTCCTTCTAAAATAAGGCTTACCGAAGCTCTGAGGTGCTCTCCCCTTAAAATCTAACCGGAAGCCTTGGAAACCCAGTAGGGAACAATGTATCATGCACCCCGCAGGCTCTGAGGGCTGTGAGGGTGCACAGAGCGTTCCATGCTTCATCCTATGAGCCTCATCTCCGACTGGGATGGCAACTTCCAGGGATCTCTGAGTGCCAGCGGAACATTCTGACATTCTAAACAAATGTTGTTTTTCAGATTACATTTAAATGTCACTCCTGAAATGCTTACTTTTACACTAAAAGGAAATCAAGGGAGAAAACTGTGTCATAACTATTTTGGAATGTAGTAAACAGATCAACTTACTAAGTCACTGGTGAAAGAGTGATCACACTCACTTGAAGAAAAAAAAATTGTTTTAAATCTAGATTCCCCAGACCTCACTCCAACTCTTGGTTAGAATTTTCCAAGGTAGGTCCCTGTCTATTGTCACTAGCTAATTTGGGTGATCTGTGGATCTAATAAATTGTTCTTTGACAAATTTTCCTTTATTGTTGTTGTTTTGTTTTTTTTTTTGGTTTTTCTCCGGTACCGGGAACCGAACTCACGACCTTGCGCTTGCCAGGCAGGCGCTTTGCCGCTGAGCTAAATCCCCAGCCCCTCAAATTTTCCTTTATCACTAAGGGGTGTGTGTCATGAAGCACCTGACTCCAGTGGAAGCTGGAGCTCAAAGGCCTACGCTGCCAGGGAAGCAACTGTTCCACCTCTACCTCTAGAAATACACTAGGACTTTAACAACCAAACAGCTGTAAAGTGAAGTTGGCCCAGGAGTCTAAACCAGAAATAGGCAACTATTCAAGTTCACATGGAGTCTTACATTAAATGACAAATTCAAGATTGTTCCGGTGGTTGTTACCTTATCACTTTGAAAGACCTGGTAACAATATCCAGTCAAATGCTAAGTGACTTTATTCAAAACTAAGATTTTTCCATTTCCGGAACCATCCAGATCATACACGGCCAAGGAATACATCCGGTAGGCAGAGCAGTAGGATAATTTTTGTAATTACCAGTTTACAGAGTTGAAACCTAACACAAAATCAAGCTATCCTGGTATTACTCAAAACTCACTCTTGTACATTTAACCACAATTAAAGTGAATACCTTATTTTCCTTTCAACATGCTTTTAACATACGGAACGGCACCCATCCTTCAGCTGTTTGTGTCTTTTTTGGCAGCTGCCCATCTGAAGCAATAAAGAGAATTGAATTATTCAAAACAATTGTCTCTGAACACCGGGACCATCTGTTAGTCTCCCAACTCTGCTCCAAAGCCAAAGCGAATTTTCCGGCGCAGTTTGTTACACACCTAGAATAATACCCCCATACAATCAGGCCATGAAAATCTCCCGCAAGGCTTTTCTCGAACGGCAGACTCCGGCCCAGCCTCCTACGCTGCCGTTGCTGCTGGGATTCCGCCTCTGGCTCTCTAAGGCCTGCTCCCTACCACGTCCCCATTCGGAGGCGGCCAGGGTTAGGGCACTCCGGTTTACCTCTAAACCTGCACTTTCTTGCTGCTTCCTCCGCCCTCCCACCCGGCCCAGCTACTGGTTCTGTTCCCGGCTTGCGAAGAGAGCTCCAGCTGGGAGATGATTCCCCACTCCACAAAATACACTGGGCTGGGGGCCCAACCAACCTCTTCTCAATGGAGACTCAAGTAACGCTTCCCTTAACGACCCAGATTCCCACAGGGAAGCAGGTGACAGGCGGCACGTCGGGACCAATCAGAGGCCAGTGGAGCTCGTCTGCGGAGCGGTTAGCCAATCAGAAGAGAGGCAGGGCCCCCAGGATGGCGGCTCTCCGCGGCGTCTCACGGAAGTAGTGGGGAGAGCCCGCGCGTTGCCCGCGCCGAGCCGAGCCCGCCGGGAGCCCGGGGCCGCCTCCGCCCGGAGGAACGGGCTGCG